GTGCTGGAGGAGCCCGCGCTCCGCCCCTCGGAGCTCAGAAACAGACTCGGTAAGTACGAGGAACTCTTGTTTACACCGGCGACGCGTTCTGTTACTCTGTCATATTGCCTTTCACCAAAGTGATATCTTATAAGTTGTATATAATACCATGTTGCCCGCGACTTCGCCCGTGCGGAGTTTTGAACTTCAAAATTACGTTCGCCCCTTTTTTCAACCTATCACCTAAAGTATTAACTTAGTAGTAATCTACGTAATTATACGTACGTACAATCTACGTAATCTTAGTAGTACTGATTTTTCGGTTACACTTATTGTTTGTGTTCGCAATATTTTCTAAACTATTAGTTCAATTTAAATATTGTCAAGGACAATTTTTTCTACAATAAATTCTCCTGACAACAAACGCATTTATTTGGATAAGGCCTAATGTTGAAGCCAATAAAAGAACATCGCAAATAGCGTGCAGTTTTTAATATATTTTGTAAACAAAAAAATGGCTATTGTAAGAAAACCGTTAAAGATAGAAACATATGGTGCCCTCGCGGAATATTCTGTAGAACTTTTTGAGTACTACAATTCTTTCATACATCATTTATATATATATATCCAATGGTTTAGGCAGCGTAAGCCGAGAAAAGTAAAAGCATTTTGTAACGCCGTAGTCAAGAAATATGTTGTTTATCAATAGGTCCTCAACATTAGTAATAATAAAATATAGCCTATGTTACTTACAGATAAAATTCATTTCAAAAGGTGAAAGAATTTTTAAAATCGGCCCAGTAGTTTTTGAGTTATTTCAATACGTACAAAAATACAAATCTTTCCTCTTTATAATATTAAGTATAGATTACCATTTTCCAAGTTAAGAAGATAGATGACAAACCCAACAGTATCTACAAGTTGCCGGCCTCAATGTTCCCGTCCAGTTATGGTGCCTTCGAGAGCAGGGTGAATCTGCACTTATTGAGGTAGCGCGCTCTATCCTTCGACCGCGTCTTCACTTAGCTTAGATGAAGTCGTGGTCAAGCGATGGATTATTCATGTTAAAAAAAAAGAAACTACAGGATCCCAACGGGATATTTTCCCATTGTGTCGATTAATCCTAGCGGTTTGTCATTGTCATCGTCTCCATGTGAAAAAAAATCACATGTGTCGATCGATTGGTGGGCCGGGCAGCCCAACGGGAAACATCCCTTTTGCTCACAGTTTAGTTTGGCTGTGTCAAATCGTGTCAATATAATTCATTACTTCCATAGAATTTCAGAACCATATAGTCTAGCCTTTTGCAGTGGAAAATAGTAAGTATGTGTAAATGAATAAATATATCTAATTAATGTTTAGAAACGTACCTAATACGTGGAATTAAATTGTGCAAAATTACTCTGATTGTTATTATAATCTTCGCTAAAAAGAAAACATTCAAAATAAAGAGTTTAAAGAAGGAAACTATTAAGTTAATTATAAAAGTCGAAGAAAAGGCAGAAAGCGCAACGTTTAGAAGGCGCTCAGTAACTGCGCTTAGCAACTGCGCTCAGTGTGTCTCGACTGGACCGAAACCGACACCAACTTTCCGCAGATAATCCTAAACCATTCAAAATATTTCTCTACAATGTGTGTATTTATTGCACGCACATAAACCTGTCATCAATTAAAAATGTAGTTAGTTATTAATATTTATTATTTTAGTTTAATGTTTTTGTTCGAGCCTCGAGTAGCCTCGCACAGTTATCAATATGCGCGACGCGAACGTTCTCAAAATTTGTTAACTTAATTTCAAAATAAGTTTAACACTCGGTCAGTATATCATTATATTTTTTTACTTTCTACGGCAACTTCACCGGCCGTTAGTCTCGTTCTGATTAAAGCGAACATTTACAAAAAATCTCGCCGCATGTTACAATAGATGAGTCGCTTCTCGAGTAACTACAATTTTGTCAACTTTCCATTTGATGTCGACGCAGAAGCAAACATCGTTTTGTACATCATGAGCCCCGCAGATAGCACTACGCCGCGTGTACTATTACAAAGGATTAATTAAATCTCCTTACGAGTACCTACTTACTATGACAATAGTCAAAGTTTTTCAAATTAATTACCAAAAATTGTCCAAAGCTTAATTCAGGGCAATCGAGGTCGTTTCCGATTACATGTGTTGCTCGAATGTGCCAGCAGTTTGTGCTTTAAACTGGAGAGGTGTGTGGTAGAGTGGTGACAGCGCTCAATGTTCCTCAGCCTTAGGCACAATACAGTGTTGCTGGCCTGTGCCCTGTGTGTTGCGAGTGCGGGGAGGTGCGGGGCGCAGAAGAGTCATATCGCTCAAATATTACTCAGCAAAGAAAATAGAAAGTAGATTACTTTATTGCCGTCGAATAGTGAATTGACCGACTCGGTACCTCTCCACTTACACAACGAGTCCGCTGCTTGGACGATATCATGATGGCCATCGAACTAATTTGGTTGTACTATCTAATATTCAGGTGTCGCGTGTCGCGTGCGCTAGAGGTACAAATGTTTACAAACGTTACCGCTGGCACATTCTATCGCAGTGATATGATAAATATTATATCAAGGTGACTCGTGTCTGAAATATAGAAACACTAGATATTTATAAACATGTCTTGTAATAACGTTAATTGTTAAAGCACTGAATTCCTTTCTGAACTGAAAATATCAAACGAGATATAAAAAAAACATTATGATTTTAGTGAAATCTTCGGAAGACGACCTGCTCCTCTGATAGCAACTTGCAGGGACGTCGCAGTTACGCAACCGGCAGTAGTAGCTTTCCTGGGCATTGTCTTCATGCGCTGGCAAAACGTATTTTCGTCCCAAACGAATGTGGACGTTTCCTTTTTACTATACTGTCCCTGATAATTAATTATCTGTACCTATCGTAATGAGCAACACTTTTATTGTTGTAGACACATTTTTCATGAAAAAAAAACGCTGTCAGGAGTTGAATCATATTCATGTTCAGCTCATTCGCTGATATGGCACTTTCTTATAAAAATAATGTAAGTAATTGTCAAGTCGAGCGGCGGAGAGTAGCGCGGTGTGTGGGGCGGAGGGGGGGGGGGCGGAGATGAAAGGAAAGCGGCGATTAATCTGACAGACGGCATCAGGAATTAGAGTGCGACGGCCGCCGCTCACGTCGGAAGAGCGCTCCTCCCGCGGCCGCTTTGCGCTCTTTGCGCTGTGCTCTGTGTAGTAATCAGGTGGATGGCCTGTGTGGTCTGCGGTTGCCAGTGCATGTCCTCTAGAGACACTTGACTAGTGCTTTAATCGTATTGTGTTGTTCTCTCCGAGCTGATAAGTCATTTACAGTCATACACAGAAAGGTTTTGTAAGTATTATTTTCTTCATTCTACAACACTTTATATGGTCTAGTAGCTGCTTGCCGAAATATGTTATTACACGTTTTGGTACACTGAGGCATTACGACTACTCCAGCGTTAGTTAATATTATACAGTAAACGCTCGCGTTCGTGGTTCCATTAGTCGCGATTCGCTATTTTACAATTCGGGGTTAAAAAATGCAACCGATTTGTACATTCACGGTAACATTTGGCAACTCGCGGTATCTGGACACATCATGTCTAAATTTGCGGCTTTTATTATCGCTTCGGGATTTGTAGTTAGAAGGCCTTTACAAAAGTGCAACCAATTGAATGAATTAAATAGAAATTTTAATACTAAAACACAAATGCTATTTACTGAACATTGCAGCTTAATTTGAAATGTTGTTAGTTAGTTTACAGCGCAACAAAAATATTATAAGTATATTTCTTACTTATTGTCTGTACTAGTGTACATATTATATTTCTTTCATACTAATTGTCGTTCCATATTAGCGGATTCAGTATCCGCGTCACATCTATGGAATGTAAACCTACGCGGGTACAGAGCTCCACTGCAGTTAAATGTTTTGACAGCACTCGTGTGCAAGCTGTGCCCATCTTAGACAACAGTAAACAGTAAGCAATGTGGCTGCGTATATTGACAATGGTCGGGTACAACTGCCAGTGCAGTGCCAGTGCAGTGCCAGTGCGAGTGCTAGCGCGAGGCAGTCGGTTGTCGGTGCAACAACTACACTCCGTTTGGGCCGTCCTAGCATACGGCTACAGCGACTTTCTTAAACTTTTTCTTCATTTCATTTTATTAGTCACCTCAAATCTGCTCCGGACAGCATAGACTAATTGAAACCTCATCCTTCAAGGTTAAAATACTGCTCAGCCTCGCTACAAAACGTCATACCACAGCGCAACTCTGTTACTGATGTCGCCACTGGCGATTGTTTCATAACAAAAGCGGCATTTATCGCGAATCTTTGATCTTATCCTCGTATAATGCAAATTGATTATATCACGTCAACAATATATTGATTGTTATATGTTGTTGATTAACCGCTCAGCTGCACCACACAGCTGCGGGAGCAGACCGGAACTGACGCGAAGCGTGACGCCTTGCTTCTTAGATTCGGTTTAGCACCAGCTTGGAAGACGAATTGCCAAGACTTTTTTATATACATAAGAACGTGCCAAAACGTGCAGCGGAAACACAGAGGTGGTCAACCACGCCATAAGACATCCGCAATACCAGAGGTCCGCAATACCTGACGTCTGCAATACGGTCTCAAGACTCAAGGAAATGGTAGACACGCTAGACTATCAAAATCCATGTCAATTTAATATTGATCAGGACGTTAAAAACAAGAATGTTGACGTTTTAGTCGCATCTATCAACTTATATACCGAGTTTATAATACGAGTAGCATTAGGTACTATTTGTCGCAAAAGCAAGTCGAACCGTATTCTTTTCGTGGTGGTTCCGTTGACGAGATGACATGAGCCAAGGAGACTGAGGCTCGCCGTTGCGGCCGGCTGCTACAGGTGTAAAGAATTAAAGTTCGCAAGGCAAAGCAATCAAATGTAATCAATTACTGGAGCGGAAAATTTCACAAGTGGCCCGCGCCCCTCGCCCCGCGCCCCGTTCTACATTACCTGTCTGTGCAACGCTGCCATTTTTTGCTTAAACCTTTTCGTCCGTAATTAATATTTTTACCTTTATATATTCAACATATGGAAAGTTGGCCGCAGATTCATCTCAAACAAAAGAAATAAGTTGTGATCACTGGCAGATTTATACTGGTGTAGGCAAGTACGTGAAGCCACACCGCGCCGATGTGGTCAGTTTACATTGTTACAGTAACTAGCAGTAAATTCCAAAAGATCAATAATCCCCCCTACCGATAATGACATTCAAAATCGTTGCCGCTGTTTGTGTGAGTATGAGTCCCATGGAGTATGGAGTGAACTTGCTTATGTACAAATTACAAACCCGAAAATCCACATCCTGCCAAGCGATCTACGGCAGAGAATATCATAAGTTTACACAATAACAGAGCATTCCGTCAAGCATTTAACATAGTTCCGTTATGCCGGAGTGTGTCGTACTCTGCACTGTTCGCTGCTCGCACTCAACGAGGCTAGTTTTTGCTCGCATTGCGGTAGCGAGGGGCAGCGCGAGGTGGGGCGGGGCGCTCGCCGCCGTCAGTCGCAGCCTGCGCCTTTTGCCGAAACATCGACTGTTCTCAAGTTAGATGTTACAATTCAATTTAATGTGTCAGAATATATAAAAATGCTCAGAACTAAAAGAGTTTAGGCAAAATAAGTATTTTGCGCTACTGGGACTTTCACTCCCCACTAACGGCGTCGGCGTGTTGCAGCGCGGCGCGGCTCCGCGGGCCCGGCGGCAGACGGCGAACGGCCTCGTGCGCCCAACCTCGTCAACAAGCAGCCCGCGTTGCCCTTCGTGCCGCCCGCCTTCCCGCACGCGGCGCCCGATCGCCTCATCAAACCCTCCGAGTACTTGCGCACCATCACGGCGCCCTGCAAACGCGACGAGGGCGCGGCGGAGGGGGGCGCCCCGCCCGCGCCCCCCGCACCGCCCGCGCCGCCTGCCGCACCCGCGCCTCCACAGCCGCCGCCCGCACACCAGCCTCTGGCCGCCATCAGCAGTGCGGAGCTATGCGCGGTGCGGCTGCGCGCGCCCGCCGGCAAGACGCTGTCGGCACCGGCGCCTGCGCGCTCGCTCAGTCTTCAGTGTTTGCCCAGCGCCGCGGACTTCCGCAGCGCGAAGACGGACCTCATCGAGGAGTTGAAGATGTCCAGGGACATTACGGGCATCCGCAAGTTGCGTGTGGAGCGCGCGCGCCGCGAGAGCCTACAGGACAACGAGACCTTTGCCGAGTTCACGAAGCGCTTCACGGCGGACAACTTCGTCGATCAGGTAATTGCACTGCTGCACTATACCAATGTTGTATGTTGTACGCGCACTCTATCAAAATTTCCGTTAATGCATCATGTATAATTAACTAAACTTTTAATCTGATGTTTCCGCTTTCTGATGTGATGATTTTAACGTTATCGGAATCGTATTTGACGAACATTTTGAGGGTTTATTTGGCGACGAACAACCTGTGAAGGTCCGCATGCTCCGCGTCCGGGGGCTCTTTCCGGCCGACTGGTTGCTGTTCGGAAAACAACGTTTAGATTAGTTAAACATAAATGGTTCGATATTAATTATTGGGTTCGGCCGATGGATGACAACGGGGAGAAAGTCGTCGCGTAGTAAAATGTGGTGTCGTGCAGCGGCTCTCGCAATGCTCTCGTTATACGCACTACTACGCAACTACCTGTCGCCGGTCACTTTGTCTGCGTCGAGGCTGAATATCTAGAATATCCGAAAAGTCTCATAACTCAAGGTTTTTATTGAAAATTGTCAAGTATACTCGTAAATCTTACTAATAATTTTGCTTAGGAAAAACATTTCTCCGTTTGAATTTCCATACAGAATAACAGAAACGAATAACTATAGTTTGCACTGTGCGTTGTGGTTGTTAGTGAGTTTTATTAATTACGGGTACAAGAAAAAAGATATAGTTAGTTAAATATGTTAACTCAGAATTGGTTTTGACTTCGATTATTTTACATATCGCAAACATCCGGCGGCGCGGGCGGCTGCACTGCATTGTACTGCGTTGGACTGGCTCACTTTGCGCAAGTAATTGCCGTTTACTGACGTTGAAAGAAAGTGGTTTTAACGCGTTATATTAATTAGCTAACGATCCGAATGAGTTTTAGTTTATTTTGAGAGCGCGTTGCGGCGGCGACGGCAGCGTTGTTACGCTTTCTCCGGTCTGCTTCGGCCGCCTCACATGTGCCGACTCCGCACCGATACAGACGGACAGCTGTCACATTAGAGTACATATAGGTATATGACGCTCATTTCATATACACCTGTATCTTAAATTCTAAAAATACAGTGAATATTTTAAACAAAAAAGCGTGTAAATGGGACGCAATAGACAAACAAAATGTGTTCATTCATCGTGTCTATTTCTAAATTAAATCAAATTTAGTTAAGTTTGTTTTTATTCAAGTATTAATTAAACTAAACTTGACTATAGTTGACACGATTACGTTTTTTACATTCTGTAAAGAAGCGGCAGGGCGGCGAGCGCGACTTTATAAATGTGCCGCGTGCTGTGTCGCAGATCGCCTTAGTTCAGCGTCTTCTCGTGTCGGTGACTGTACCTACTAGCGACACAATATCGAGTGAAATTGTGGGATACCTTTACTGTGGCTCAGGTCAGGGATTGTCAATTTAATAATGAATGACACGCTACAGTCGCTGCGGCCGCGGACTGTCACTGCTGGACTAGCATGAGATATAGATATTAATGTTATACTTTAACATCCACTCAAGTTGCAATAATTTACGAGGCCTCGTCCGTTGGCGTTGGCCAGACATCGCATACGCTGAAACGGCCGTAGCTCGGCTCCGGACACAACGGTACATCTTGCCTCTACGTATAAATAGAAAAAGACTGCAAAATCATTCAAACGTAGAAAGAATCGCGAGCCGTCAGTTATATGGTCTGTACTCGCAGTATAGTGTTTGTGCGGAAATTGTTGCTAACGAAAAGTAATTGACTGGTTAAGTTGGAAAAAATCGTTAATTGGCAATTATTGTTGTTGCCATTAGTCATTTCTCTCCGCGAAGAAGGAAATAATAGTTGGCCACGCAGAGTTATCTCGTACTGGATATAGCGACTTCTTGTTTTTGCGATTTTATATTGTCGTATTAGTACTTTGTTGCATATCGTCAGATCGGTTTAACGACAAATCGCTTGCTTTTCTTTCGGTTAATGCCGTGATGTTACTGATATGAATCCAATACGAATGGTATGAATCGAAGGAGGACCAGAGCTCATTGACAAATGGTTGCTTACTACATTATTTGTATTTCTTTACGATATTTGTGCGCTACGATAAACCTTCAAAGTGATCCCTGTCCATGTAGGATATATTTTTTAACTTAGAGTTAAAAGTATTTTGTAGTCGAAGAATGCACCGCGCCCCCCGCGCCCCCTGCGCCGCCGAGAGCGCGTTGCGCGCGGTGGGCGCGGTGGGTGTGGTGGGCGCGGGGGACGCGCGGACCGGCCGCGTTGTAAGCGTTGGGTGTGGGGTGGGCGCGTGTCGAGCAGGGCTGTGCGCAGGTGCCGGAGCGCGACGCCGCCGGCAACCTGATCCCGGCGTGGAAGCGACAGATGTTGGCGCGGCGTGCGGCGGAGCGCGCGCGCCGGGACCTGGAGCGCGAGCTGGCGGGCGAGGCGGAGCGCAGGCGCGCGGCCGCAGTGCCCGCCTGGAAGCGGCAGCTGCTGCAGCGCCGCGAGGACGCCGAGAACCGACTCAGGTACCTAGTTCTGTTTCTAGTACGATAATATGATAGTATGGTTGGCTTAGGGACTGATCGACGAATGCCACTTATATATCTTCTATATCGATTCTTAATTATTGTCGTTTGGGTTTAAATGTTGCAGAGAGTCGTTGTACACGCCGCGAGTGTCGGAGCGCGAGGGGCGGGAGGGCGGCGAGTGGCGCGCCTTCCCCGCACCGGCCGCCGGCCAGCGCGCGCTCTCCATCGACAACATCACGCTGTGCTACGACACGCCGGCGCCAACACCCGCGTCCGCGCACCCGCCGCGCGCGCCCTCCGAGGCGAAGCTGTCCACCGATCTCTATAATGGTACGCAGTGCGCGCACGCAACAGTAGTGCGCAGTGTGCGGCGGCAGCGCTCACAGAAGGTCAGCTTCCTTACTCCTTGTAATGTTTCAGGGCACTCGATGACGAATGGTAAGCACGTCGAGGAGGAGGATAGCGCCAAGATCATCCCGTGGCGCGCGCAGCTGCGCAAGACCAACAGCAAGCTCAATCTGCTCGAGTAGACGGCAGCCGCAAGTGTCCGACGCGGGCGGGACTAGGCTCGCACACGCTTTCAGACAAAAGACTTTGCTAGTGTTTATTGTAGATCATAGCATAGCATAAAATGACTTGTATATTCGAATCAGTCACATGTCGCGGAAGTAATTATTGATGTATAAATTTTCGTCAGTTCATCTCAGTATCGAGTATAATAAGTAACTGCATCTCATCTTTATAATGTAAATGGAGAAATAAAGAGACGATGTGTAGGCGAGGTCGCGGCGAGTGTCGCGGCGAGAGCGACGCGGCCTCGGAGCGACGTAGAGCTCTGTAAGGTATTTGTAAGGGACCAATTTGTGTAAAAGCGATTCGATAGAAAATCAACATTTAATAGATGTTGTTTTTCTTTAATCAGCACATAAATGTATATTAAGATGTAGCAAACATATATAAATTATTGTAGGTTTCGAACTTCACTTGGAGGCTATTTATACAAAGAGAATTGTTAAGTTTTAATTTTGTGTGTATGTTTTATTTTAACCCACATAAAATGAGCGACAGCGCCGCGCCCCCTGCGGGCTGAGGGCGCGGCGCACGCGGGCTGCACATGCAGGGCACTATTTACTACTTTTGCAGGAAATTTATTTTATTTGAAAGTAAATCGTATCGGTATTGTACTAGTGCAAGGTGATATCTTCGTTGCAATATTAGTGTTTAAGCTTACCAGTGCAATTTAGCTATTTGTACGAATTACTTTAATTTTTTACATATCTATATTAAACGGTTGTCGAGCAAATTATATTGTTAATAAAAATCTTGTTGCTTTTAAATACATGCTTTTTTTTCTCGTCAAAAACCGAAAAACCCTCTTTGAAAGACTTTTTATAATATAAGATGTCACACGAGCGGACGGCCACTGGATTCGCTGAAATAACGCAGCGATCGCTGCCCATACACTTACAGAAGCGATGTCTACCTTTAAACTACGGAGGAGACGAATAGAAAAAGGACATTTTTCCCTTCCTATGTTCCATTATGTCTTTGAATAAAATATAATTGTCACCTGTGACTGACGCAACTTGGTCCGCGTCGGTAGAGCCGTAATGCCCACTTTGCATTGTTGCAATCCTTCCACGAAGCGAACAATAAACCGTTATCGTCACACAAATGTATTGAAACTCGATAAAGTGTTTACGTTTATCGATAAAATATAACATCAATAAATTTTTATTTGTTTTAAAAGCAGTGTAAAGCCAATGTGATACAATAGTGGGAATATTACTACAAACGAAAATGTTCCTCCTTCTTTTGATCTCGTGTGAAGGTATAATAGCAAAGTTAGTTTCATTTTGCTTGCACCGTTGTGGCGGCGGCGCAGGGCATAGGGCCGCCACACGCCGCAGCCAGCGGCTTGCACATTCACATAATCATTGCGTTTTGTATTAAAGCTTTACATCCATTATTTAAGGTAGGCGGCTGCACGTCCGATGTCTCGTAACATGGCACAATTATACAATTAAGCTCCTTACAAAAATGACAGTTAACACTAAAAGAATCTGTAGCTATTTGGCCTATCAAATTGTGAGTTACTGTTTTTCAAAAGAGCCTGTGTGAACTAAATTATTCCACACTGGAAATTACACTATCGGACCACAAATTTCAATTGTCTTGGCTTTGACTTATAAAAAATCGCGATGATAAAATATCGCGATATTTCTTAAAAAAACAATTCTGTTTACCTTGTATCAAGTAAATGGGCCTTAGAGAGCAGCTGGGGGTTGTTTTAGTGTAAACTGTCACCCTTTAAACTAGCATAATATTAGGTCTTCACCTATGAAATGGCCGCTTTGTAAGAAAGAAATTAAACGATTTTCTTTCAAGTATTTTTATTTGTATTAATAAAAGTAATTTGACTGCTTTTGGAAATGTTTGTTGTTCTATGTTTATAAAATAATATTAAATTTAAATTAGTATTAAGAACGAAATGTTATTTTGATTTGAAATAGCCAGTACTACTGTATGTTCGATACTTTACGAGATATCGATCTACGAGTATGTAGCTGCCTACCTCAAGTAAGGCATAATTGTTTCCCAACCTAATATTATAGTTACGATTAACGGAATTAAATAAATAAAATAAACAAGATTTTAGGTTCAACCTTTTATAATAAATGAAATTATACACAATTTTCCAATCATTAAATTCTGTTTATTACTATAGTATAAGAATAAAATTTTCTTCACTTGTCAGTAGATACAACTTTTTCCTTCCGTCTTAAACATGTAAAAGTACTGGATTTGTTTTTTTTTCATCTTAACTTAATATTAACAATAAAAATGACCAGTACAGGATGTTAATTACAAAAAAAAGTATATAATACGAAAGCAGAAAATAAATTACGTTCTAAACATAATTAAACGTCCATAAACAAAGCGGATCTCGTGTTGAATTATCGTGTTCATACTGCGCGTCTTACGTCGCGAACTGTCAACTGTCAGCTGTCAGCTGTATATCACAAGTATGAGCGATGCAGACAGCGCTGTGGCGCATCCCAGTGTAATTATTGTATCATCTCCACTGTGGCGGCCATCTCCAGAAGCTGACCGTACACGTGCCTCGATACTAAGCGGTGCATGTATAAATGTTTCAGTAGTAACGCGTGCGAGCCCCGCGACTGCGTCTACCACCGTGCTAACAAGCGGGGCCGACGATGAGGGCCCC